CCTAGACCTGTCCTTATTTTCATTCCGGGATCCCACAGGACTTTAGAATGTTCTCATTAATTCTCCTGGAGGGGCAAGGAGGTGGTCAAATGTCATCATTGAGGGTTTATTCATAGGTGACATAACTGGCATCCTTCTAAAGAGTATAATTAAATTTTGAATAAAAATTTGTCCTCATCATAATCCCTGTGTGGATCTTTTGAAATACTTCATTGCATTTTGACATTTCAGAAACAGCTCTTTTTTTGACTGGAGTATGAGTCTTAGTAAATCCTGTGTATCCCCTGAAATTAATCAGCCTGTTCCTTAAGCATGTCTGTGTGAGTGGTGGCTCTTTTTGAATTTAATCTTAAGAGTGAGTCTAAGGCATTCTTTGGTTGACTGGACTCTACTGGAATAGAGACGTGGTCAGCCAGAGGCTTACCCAAGGCTGCTCGAGAGTGACAAGTCCAGATTTGGCCCTGGGAATGACTGACTGTCAAGCTTTTCTTTCTCCAAGACAAGTCTTACTTTGTGTTTTCACTTTACTTTCTCTTGCTTCTAATTTGCAGTGAGGAAACTTCTTTTATAACCAGCTCTAGGCTTCCTTTTAAAAAATTTACTATATTTATTTGAGTATGTGCAGGTGTGTATATGTACTTGTGTCATGGAGCATATGTAGAACTCAGAAGACAGCTTGTGGGAGTTGGGTCTCTCCTTCCACCCTGTGGGTCCCTGGATTGAAATCAGGTTGTCAGGCTTGGTGGCAAGTGCCTTTTATCCACTGAGCCCACTTATTAATCAATCAATTAATTAATTAATTAATTTATTTATTATTTGTCTTTTTGAGACAGGGCCTCCCTGTAGCCCCAGATGTCCTGGCACTCACTATGTAGACCAGGCTGGTCTTGAACTCACAGAGATCCGCCTGCCTCTGCCTCTGCTGGGATTAAAGGCGTGTGCCACCACACCCGGCTTCCACTGAGCCCTTTTGCAGGCCATGCTCTGGGTTTCTGATTTGTGCCAGGCACTAGGCTGGGCTTTGGAGACCCAAAGAGCAAACAAAATTGGAGGCTGCCTATGTTATTCTTTTTATTACATCTTGGTCCTTGGGAAAGTTAGCCAACCCTCTGAGCCACAGCTTCCTCATTTCTGAGAGGAGTAATACTGTAAGGTTGAGCATTGTAAGCAGTTGAGGTGGAGGCTTGTGAACAATCTGTTGTCTCCAGAAGTTAGGTAAGTGAGTGAGCCAGTACTCTGAGTAAGCAATGGCTTGGCAGTGAGTAGGTTCTCTCTGGTTGGAAGTTTGTAGGCACAGATGTGGGGAGATAGGACAGGTTGGTACCTCACCCAGAAGGGACTTAAGTGAAAGGCCTCTAGGAGGTGGCAGTACCTGAACCAAGATTTGGAGGCTAAAGAGGGATAAGCATCCCAGGCTGGAGAAGTGCAAAATAGGCTTTTAAGAAAAGGAAGGCTTGGGGCTGGAGAGATGGCTCAGTGGTTAAGAACACTGGTTGTTCTTGCAGAAGACCGGGGATTCACATGGCAGCTAACAACTGTCTGTAACTCCAGTTCCAGGGGATCTGACAGCTTCTTCTGTCCTCCAGTGGCATTGCACGACACAGGTGCACTTACCTACACACAAGCAATACACGCATACACATAAAATAAAAATAATAAATAATATGTGTTTAAAAAAAAAAAAAAGGAAGCCTTTTTAAGCTCTGATGAGGTCTCCAGAACTAGAGCCGGCCTTTGAGTTGGCAAACGCATTTGCCTGAAAGGGTGTTGTGTTCTCTTGTAAGGAATTCAGGGGGAGCCAAGAATGGTTCCCACCCTAGCCCCCTGTGGTGGAATCTAAGTATACTCCCTGGAAACCCACCTGCTGCTTTGGCAGCAGCTCTGAATTCCACTTCCACAGGGAAATGATCCCATTCCTTTCTACTCTTGAATATGAAACAATCAGGAAAATCTCTGTGTACTCCAGGAGCAGAGATGTTTGCCTTTCTTTAATGCTATGAAAATTGAAGAACTTAATATATAAGGTATATTACAAGGAAATACACTATATAGACACTGATCATAATTGCAAGGGTGTATAATAGCACAGTAATTCAATTATAACTGCTGTTACCTGAAAATTCTGTGAAAAAAAATGTTCAATTGGATCTAAAGAATTTACTTGTATCCATTATATTGAGTTTTTACTGTGTTCAGAAGGGTTGTGCTAGGTGAGATTCCTCATCATGCCCTTCACACATTTAGGGCCTTTTTTTTTTTTTCTTCTTTTATTTTGGTCTTTTTGAGGCAGGGTTTTCCTATAGCCCCAGCTGTCCTGGAACTCATTATGTAGGCCAGGCTGGCCTTGAACTCACAGAGATCCACCTGCCTCTGCCTGGGATTAAAGGTCTGTGCCATCATGCCTGGCCATTATTTTAAAAAACTAACTGCAAAGATTTTTCTTTTTAAGGTAAAAGTTTAAAGAGTGTTCCCTGTTACATGAAATCAAACAGTGGTGGAAATCTGTGTTTTTAAAATTTAAATACGTTTTCTCTCGAAGTTAGTAACTCTTCCACATTATTAACAAAGTATAATCTCTAAGGAATATTACTTTTTCTCTTTTGTGTTACTCAGTACTGAACCAAAGCACTATGCTAGGTGGTGCTCTACCACTGAGCTATACCCCCAGCCCAAATACTACTTCTGTAGGACAAATTCACTTACATGTAAGCATGAAAGTGAAAAGGGAAAGCAGTGATTCTGTGATACACTGTGTAGGCTGTGAACAATAAAGCCCTTGAGAGTACAGTTAGGGAAGATAGCAGATGTTTTATTAAAGAGCAATAGCAGCAGGCAGCTGGAAATGGAGAGAGGGCTCAGTGGTTAAGAACTCTGGCTGCTGCTCTTGCAGAGGGCTTGCAGTGGGTTCTTAGTACCCACTTGGCAGATAACAACCATCTATAACTCCAGATCCAGGGGATGAGATGCCCACTTCTGACCTCTGCAGGCAAAACACACGTACACATAAAATTAAAGAATTAAAAAACTGAAAATGTAAAAAGCCATAGTAGAACAAATTGAGTTCCTTAATCTTTTTCTTCCTTTCCTTTTTAAAATTTGTTCTTTGACAATTTCATGTATGTCTATAATGCTTCCTGATTGTTCTCTCCCCCCACCTTTTATCTCCCACCCATCTCTATCACCCTATCACCCCCCCCCCCCCGAAACAGTCCCTTTCTGACCATTGGTTTTGTTTTGTTAGCCATTTATTATAACGTGGGCCATCTGTGTGACTGTTGGTTTGGACATAGCCACTGGAGCCTGGTGAGGTCAGCAATGGGGAGACAACTGAAGGCACTGACTGCTCTTCTCACTGAATCTATCAGTAGCAAATAGTTCATCAGGGAGTGATAGGGCTCCCTGAACACCTCCTCCATCCATGCCTGATTGTTGACTGGCCCATTCTTCTGCAGATCCCATGTAGGCATCTGCAGCTGCTGTGAGTTCATGAGTGCAGGGACTTGCCCCAAAGCTGGCTTTTTGCAGTCCTTCTCCCTCTCTTCCAGTTCTTACATTCTTCCTCCCTTCTTCCACTGTGATCCCTGAGCCTCAGAGGGGATGGTAGAAACGTCTGTTGTGGGGCTGAGCACTCATCTGTCACTTAGTCTCAGTACCTTGTGCAGCCAGTCTGCATTGACTGCTTTTCACTGGAGAGGGGCAGGCTTTGGTTAAGACTGAGACTAGCACTTGTCTCTTGCAGTGGGTGTGGGAGTCCTGGGCCTGCCTCTCTCTGCCCCCTCTTTCCCGCCCTCCTTCCTTTCTCTCTCCTCCCTTCCTCTGTACACCCCCCCCCCCCCGTTGCAATAACTTTCCTAGGCTGGCCTTGCCCTTGTTCTGTAGCTCAGATCTTGAACTTACACGCCTGCCTCAACCTCCCAAGTTTAGCTGGGATTTCAGGCATGTTCCAACACATCTGGAACTTTCTCTTGTGGTCTTAACTAAATTTCCTGTATAGGGATGAACGGATTAAGAAGAACCAGAGTCATTTGTCCTAGATCATGGTTGTCTATATGTCGTGCCCAGAGAGCAGCACCAACATTACCTGAGGTCTTCTTAGAAATGAACGTTCCCTTCAGCCCTGACCCAGGCTGAAAATGAATTGGTTGTGTGGGAAAATGAGAAGCAGTTTTCCTACTTACTGATATATTATTAAACTAGCAATAGCAGTGTTTATAAATATATTCATTTGACTCTTACCACTAGCAATAAAAAGGTAATCATTAGAAATTAATATAATTTATTGAGCTAAATAACTTTTAGCTATTTTTAAAAACATTTTATTTTTATTTTAAATATATTTTATTTTATTTATTATTTTTATTTTATGTGTATGAGTGTATTGCCTGCATGTATGTGAGTGCACCTTAAGGATGGTTTGTAGCCACCTGTGGGTGCTGGGAATCGAACCTGGGTCTTCTGCAAGAGCAGTCAGTGCTCTTAACCACTGAGCCATCTCTCCAGCCCTCTTATTATTTTTTTATTTTTATTTTATGTGTATGCATGGATTGCCTGCGTGTAGGTAAGCGCACCCGTGTCGTGCAATGCCGGCGGAAGACAGAAGAGGCTGTCAGATCCTTTGGAACTAGAGTTACAGACAGTTGTTAGCTGCCATGTGGGTGCTGGGATTTGAACCCGGGTCTTCTGTAAGAATAGTCAGTGTTCTTAACTTCTAAGCCATCTTTCCAGGCCCAACTATTAGATATTTTATATGTGATAACTGTCTCTTGTTTCTTTACCCTTTTTTCTTTTTCTTCGGTCTTTTTAAGACAGGGTCTCCCTGTAGCTCCAGCTGCCTGGAACTCACTCTGTAGACCAGGCTGGCCTTGAACTCACAGAGGATCTGCCTGCCTCTGCCTCCCTGAGTGCTGGGATCAAAGGTGTGCACCACCATGCCTGGCTTTTCTTTACCCCTTTCAATTATGGGTAAATAATGACCATGTCTCTTGGGGCTGTTGTTTTAGGTTAAAAATGTGTCTGCAGGCACACCAGACATGCCTCCACCCCCATCCGACTATGTGGAGGGTGTTGACAATGCCTTGGCTTACTCCTCTAATGGCAAAGTGAATGGCAAGCGTTCATATCCAGAATCTTCCTATAAGTCAACACCACTGTAAGTAGCACCTTAACTCAATAAAATTTGGTCTAAATATGAATATTGGCCTATTATTTTATGTTGTTTTTTATACTCGATGTTAGCCAAAAGTCTGAGAACCCATTTTGTCATTTTCCTTTTTTTTTAATACTTTATTATTTTCATGTGTATACGTGTATTGCCTGCATGTAGATAAGTGCACCTATGTCGTGCAATGCCTGCAGAGGACAGAAGAGGCTCTCATCCCCTGGAACTGGAGTTATGGAAAGTTGTTAGCTGCCATGTGGGTGCTGGGATTCAAACCCGGGTCCTCTGCAAGAACAACCAGTGTTCTTAACTGCTGAGCCATCTCTCCAGCCCTGTCATTTTCCTTTTTACTCACAAAAGCTGACAGCACCCTTTCTTTCCTAGTACAACCATCTTTGTTTTGTTGATTGAGGCCTAAGTGCTCTGAAGCAGGACAAAGAGTATGGATCTTTTTTCCTTTCTAAAATGAATCTGTCTTTTTCACATGCAGATATTTTTTCTTTATTTTATGTGTACGCATGTATTGCATGCCTGTATGCAAGTGCACCTGTGTAGTGCAGTGTCTGAGGAGGATAGAAGAGGGTGTCAGATCCCCAGGAACTGGAGTTGCAGATGGTTGTTAGCCACCATGTGGGTACTGGGATTTAAACCTGGATCTTCTGCAAGAGCAGCCAGTGTTCTTAACTCTTGAGCCATCTCTCCAGTACTGCTGATTTTTTTTTTTTTTTTTTTTTAAGAATTTATTTTATAGCCAGGTGTGGTGGTGCATGCCTTTAGTCCCAACACTTAGGGAGGCAGAGGCAGGTGGATCTCTGTGAGTTCAAGGTCAGCTTGGTCTACATAGTGAGCTCCAGGCCGGGCCAGCTGGGGCTACAGGGAGTCCCTGTCTCAAAAAGACAAAAAAGATAAAAAGAATTTATTTTATTTATTAGGCTGGGCATGGTGGTACATACCTTTAGTCCCAGCACTTAGGAGGCAGAGGCAGGCCTGTGAGTTCAAGGTCAGCTTGGTCTACATAGTGCGTTCCAGGCCAACTGGGGCTACAGGGACCCTGTCTCAAAAAGCCAAAAAAAAAAAAAAAATTTTATTTTATTTATCATTATTTTATGTGTATAAGTGTATTGCCTGCATGTATGTAAGTGCACCCATGTCATGCAGTGCCTGTAGAGGTCAGAAGAGGGCAGCAGATACCCTGGAACTGGAGTTACTGACAGTTGTTAGCTGCCATGTGGTGCTGGGACATGAACCTGAGTCTTTGGCAAGAACAGACTGAGCTTTCTCCAGTCCTGGCCATGATGGATTCTTATCCCTCTGAATAAACTCTTCTATAAGTTGCCTTGGTCATAGTATTTTATCACAGCAACACAAAAGTAATTAATACACCTTAGAACTGTATCCAAACCATAGCATCCAGTAGGGTATCTTACTTACAGTGTTAGGCCCTCCATGTTACTGGAGGATGTGAAACCTTGCAGTTTATGTGTGCTGTTTCCTCATCACACCCACATAACCCCATCCTGAGGAAACTAATATTTTAATTTATATCACCATCTATCAGTTTAATCTTTAAAAATAAATTTATTTTATTTTTACTTGTGTGTCTGGGTTTATCCACATGAGTGCAGGTGCCAGTAGAGGGCAGAAGAAGGCACTATGTTCCCTGGAACTGGAGTTATAAGTGGTTATATGATGCCTGAGGTGGATATTGGGATCCAAACTCTGGTCTTCTGGAAGAGCAGCAGCAAGGGTTCTTAACCGTTAGCCATCCTTCAGCCCTGAATGTTGTTTCTTTTCCTTCACTGATAGTGTGTCATCGGAAAAGGAGTCTTGTGCATTTGTTTTCAATTCTGTAATTATCTTGACCACCCTTCATTTGTATAACACTAAGCCAAGTGCTCTTGGGAATACAACTCCATGTTTTCCCAGAGCTTGTAAAACAAAAGTAGGTGAAAATTATGGAAATTATGCAGGCTAATTACACTAAGGCCACAACAGGAGCAGCAAAGGCAGATGAAGGGGGTGTCCCAGAATGAAGGATGAAGTCCAAACCTACAAAAGGACCCTCTAGAAGAGATGAAGTGGGGTTGACAGCACCTACTTGTGAGTGAAGAGGGGCTGGCTACCTCTCCTGGGTTGTACGCATTTTAACATAATAGATCTTGTCTCTTTGACATTTTAGTTGTTAGCCTTAGCCTTTAACAGCTGTGCCATCTCTCCAGATCTAAAACCTGTCTCTTAAAGCAGGTTTCAAGGTTATTGAAACTATACATATCTATCTCATAATTCTTACTACATGAGTACTTCTCTTGCTAAGAATTTTGTTTTAAGCTTTCATACTAGATCAAGGATGTTATTGTGTAGTATTTTAGAGGGTGTAGGAAAAGGAAGGGTAGAAAACTTCTAAGATAAAGCTTTGTAATGACAGTGTTGCATTTCATTTGACTTTTGGGTTCCTTTCTGTTTCCTAGCTCTCAAACACACTATACTCAAAATTTTTTATTTTAAGCCTGGCATGGTGGCACATACCCTGTAATCCTAGCCCTTGGGAAGTAGTGGCAAAGAGGATCAGGAGTTCAGGGTTATCCTCAGCTACGTAGTGAATTTGAAGTTAGGGCTCCATGAGACCTTGTCCCCAAAACAACAATAACAAGAAGAAACAACTTCCAGACAAATAATCAAAAAGAGGTTTTGTTCTTCGCCCTCAAAGCAAGACAGGCACATAATAGCTAGCAGTTTTGTTGGCAGCATGTCTAAGAAATTGTTAATCATTGACTCCCATGGAGAAGGTTACATTTTTCCCTAGACTAAAAGTATTGCATTAACATAATACACCAAGTACATTATCTGAATAAATGTAGAAAGAAGAGGTAAATAGGCCACCCCCCTTCCCCAAAGCTTTAGGGGCTACAACTGTGGTTAGAATACTTTAAGACTGACAACAGTGAGAACCAAATGACTGTAGATCATTTAGAAGACAGTAAACCTGGTAGATAAAACTCAGCTTCTCGCTTCTGTAAGTTGGAAGCACTAAGGAGGGAAAAAAAAAGCTCCAGACATTTTTAATAGTTGGTTTGAATAGCAAAACTGATACTTAGAAAGTCTCAGCCCTTTCTTTGTTCACTTCTGTTCTTGCCCTTTACAGAGGAAAGTAAAACTGCATGTCCTAGCCCTTTGTATTTTATTGCTGTTAGACTTTGTTTTCATGCTTGTGACAGGAACATTATATATGCAATTTAAAATCTGACACAACCTGAAATAATTACATTAGCAATACAGTGTTAGAGTAAACCTCCTGTTGATTCTACATGGCTTTATGAGTAACACAGAAAAATTTAAAGAATACTTTAATAAACTCCTTCCTTTGGAAGGGCAGGGGTTTAGACAGGGTCTCTCTTTGTAGCTGTCCCAGTCTGACCTCAAAGATCCTCCTGCTTCAGCCTCTTGAGTGCTGGGATTTCAGGCACATGCCACCACATCCCTTTTAAAAGTGCCTGACTTTTAAAAGAACTCTTTAATTCATTATCATATAAAGCTTTTTATTTTTTTTTAAGTTTAGATTTTTTTTTAGTTTTTCAAATTTTTATCTTGAAAGAAGAATCTATATAAGCATAAAGTAAATATTACAGAGAGCTTATCTCAGAGTTGGATAAGCTGCATCCTCTTCCCCACACAGCATTCCATGGAACTGGAAGAACCTGTAGAAAAGAATCGTGATCATTATTTTCCTGACAGGCTTTTGTAGAGTTAGTCTCTGGCCCGGGCAGATAAACACCTCCTGTAGCTCAGCCTGAACTTCCTAAAAGGAAACCTGAGATCCATTTTACTTAGAAGTTTAAGCATGGGTTACCCCCCCACCCCCACCCCCATCAGAGGCTACTTGTGTGTTCTAGGATTCTGAGCTGGTGCCAAACCGTATGCAGGATGCTATGAACTCAAGTGACTGCCTCTGCATGTGGGTGTCTCTTGATGCTGTTCTCCATGCTCTTGTTGGTTACAGGGTGCTGGCAGGGTCCAAGTGGTCTTTCAGAAGTGATTTGTGTTTTTTACTAGGGTGCCTGAAGTGGCTCAGGAGCTTCCTCTAACTTCGCCTGTGGATGACTTCAGACAGCCTCGTTATGGCAGCAGTGGTAACTTAGAGACACTTTCAAAAAGGGCTCCCACGAAGGGAAGAGTAGGAAAGTCAAAGAGAGCAGAGCCAGATTACTACGAAACAGACTACACTACAGGGGGCGAGTCCTGCGACGAGCTGGAGGAGGACTGGATCAGGTAGGGCCCCTCTCCTCTCCTGGAATCATTTGTACCTCCTAGTTACTGTCATGGCTGACCAACCGGGTTTGGGCTTGTTGCCTCCGAAATGGGTCAGTGGTGCCATTTCATTCTTTGCCCCCCAGGTCTGGAGACAGTTTTGGAGTTGTGTGTTTCTTTGGTTCTCTCATGTAATAAGATTGAAGTGGGGCAAGGGCATCTGTTTGGCTGTAATCATGTCTTACACACATGTCCACCTGAAATGGCTTTTCTACCACTGGACACCCAAGAAAGGTTTTTTTTAAGAAATAAAATACAAGTACAGGTGAATTTTGTTTTACTGATGATGTGTGCTTTCCTTCATCAGTTATCTTCAAGTTACATGCTCATGGTAAGACTACAGTGTCTTTTAAAGTTTAATACAAAGAACTCTGGCACAGATCTGTAAACAGTTGAGGTACCAGCTTAGTGTTTTAGCTAAAGTTATGCATAAGTTCTTTGTGTTAGTGGTTGATTTTAGTTCACTGTCACCAAATACATGTTGTGATATGTGTAGCTTTTTTATGCAGATGTCAGAAATGTTTGCATTGTGAATGGTGGTTCATCAGAACCTTGCTTCTCAAGGTGTTAAGGTGGTGTGGGTGGGGTGCAGATAGCTTGAAATCTATTTTTTACCCATGATTCTCACACCTTGTTTTCATTAGCCACAAGATTTTTTTTGGCCTGGTTTACTCATCTATCTGTAAAATACCTGTCCAACTTGTATAATGGAAGATTTAACCGAAAACGTTGAGGAATTCCAAAGTTTTATTTTCCTTTTGATCAAATCATTTACTTTTTCTCTGTAAAAGATGTTTTACTGACTGTTAGAGCCAAAATTTGAAATGAGGTTTCTTAGTCTTAATGAAACAATTAAGAGTATTTTCTCAGTCGATTGTTTTGATGTGTCATCTTCATGTGCAAGGGATAATTGGTATATTCAGAGAGACAGAGTTCCAACTTAAAAATTGCTTATTACGTTTTCTTTATTTGGGATGGGGCACCATGGAGCTCATATTGGCACCCATGTGGAGGTCAGAGAGAGTTGGTTCTCTCCTTCCACCATGTGGGGCCTGGGCCTCAGAATTCCAGCTTTGGTTCATCATACTTTCATGAACTGCCAGATTATTTCTTCAGTGAACTTGTTTTTGTAGGTGTACTTTTTTTTTAATCCTGGAGATTGAACAGGATGTTTCACACAGCACGTACTCTATTGATTGCTGAGCTATGCCTCTAGCCTCTGTGTACAGTTTAATAATAATTACTTTTATAATGAAAGGCCAAGATAAGCTGTTTCCACTTGGGAGAAACAAGACCAAAAATAAATACATAAGCTGGTCTGAAGATGATAGGTGTTAGCAATGATCAAAACAGGCTTTGTGTTCCTGCATTTATGACTTTACACACAAGTGTTCCATTATCCTGTGGTATGTACTCTTGAGAATCAGTGCATTCCTACTAATTGAAACTTAAATTTCATGACTTTCAACTTTATTTCTAAAAATATGAGGACTGTTTTTTTTAAATGGGTAGTAATATAAAAAGTATGAGCATTCTTTTTCTGTGGTGGTAGTGTTTGAACCCACATCCTTGTGCCTGGTATGGGCAGATCATCTGTCATTGAGCTACATCTTCAGGTCTTAATCATTCTCCATTGTTTGTCTGGAGGTTTTAGCAGGGAGCACAGCTATTTGTATACCCTTGACCAAAGAATGGTCTTCTCTCCCAGAAGGACATCTTTTTTGACCAAGCATGCAGCTTTGGCAGGATGTATCTGGAATGCTGAGGGAGGAAGGGCACATCCGCCCAGCCAGCCACTTCACCTTAATCACCTCCACAGTTAATGGGGTGACATGTCATAGCCAGATACCCTTACACTCTCTGTAATCGTTCTTAGTAGAAATTATTTGTATCCTACTTCTGTCTCCCAATAAACAATAGAAAGCAAAGTGACTATGGTTTTCTACTCCCTACCAACTTGTTATCTGAGGTAAAAGACATTTTGTATCTGCAAAGTATATTTATGTAATTCTGTCTCAATTCTTAGGGAATATCCACCTATCACTTCAGATCAACAAAGACAACTCTACAAGAGAAATTTTGATACAGGACTGCAGGAATACAAGAGTTTACAAGCAGAACTTGATGAGGTCAACAAAGAGCTCTCTCGTCTGGATAAAGAATTGGATGATTACAGAGAAGAAAGCGAAGAGTACATGGTAAGTTCTAACATGACTTTTGGTTTTGGCTTTTGTTTTGTTTTTTTAAGACAAAGTCTTATGTAGCCCAGGCTGGCCTTGAACTCACTATGTAGCTGAAGATGACCTTGAACTACCGATACTCCTGGGTTCACTTCCCAAGTGCTGGGATCACAGGCATGTGCTAATGTGCCTGGCTTCACACCATATATATGTATCAGAATTTGATTTCTGATCTGTGGAGATAGAACAGCCTTTATACTAGAGTTGATAACAGTTTTGCTTGTAACTAAAAAAATTCCAAAAGGGGAAAAAAAATTGTAATTGTGAGGTTGTAGTATCATAATTTATACTGTGTTTTGGGTGAAAGCTTTTTCAAATTGCAAACTGCACTAATGTTAAGAATTATAAAGCAGGAGCCTGGGACTTGGCTCAGTGGGTACGAGTGCTAGTTGACCAAGCCTGACAACTTGAGTTTGATCCCTGGAGCCCACATAAGATTGGATGCGATGGTGCGAATCTGTAATCTAAGCACTCCTATGACAAGATGGGGGGTGGAGACAGGAGAATTGCCTGGAAGATCACAGTCCAGCTAGCCAAGGTACACTGAAAAGCAGCAGAAATAACAAAGAGACCCTGCCTCAATGAGGTGGAAGGCAACAACCAACTCCTGAAAGTGCCCTCTGACCTCCACATGAGCACTGTGGTACGCCCATGTAACACACACACACACACACACACACACACACACGAGTGCATAAATAAATAAATAATTAATTAATTTGTTTTCCTTTAAAAAAGATTTATGCCAGGCATGGCGATGCGCACCTTTAATCCCAGCACTCGGGAGGCAGAGGCAGATGGATCTCTGTGAGTTCAAGGCCAGCCTGGTCTACATAGTGAGTTCCAGGACAGCTGGAGCTACAGGGAGACCCTGTCTCAAAAAGACCAAAAAAAAAATTTTTTTTTAATTTATGTATATGTCTGCCACATGTGTGTGACTGACTACCCACAGAGGCCAGAAGAGGTGCTGGATCTCCTGGAGTTGGAATTACAGACAGTTGTGGGCAGTAATAGTCTATGTATATAAATTTATCCCTTACTATTTAAAAAAAATGGCCATCTTTATCTATTTATAAACATAATTCTTTCTGTAAAAACTAATTACAGAATTGAACACATAAAAATGTATCCCTGGTAAAAATAATAAATTAAATGGGGGGGGGCAGGAGAGATGGCTCAGCGCTTAAGAGCACTGACTTCTTTTGCAGAGGACCTGGGTTCGATTTCCAGCACCCACATGGTGGCTAACAACCATCTGTAACTCAAGTTCCAGGGGATCTAATACCCTTTCCTGACTTCTGCAGACACTTCATGACACAGGTGTACTTACACATACGCAGGCAATATAGTCATACTCACATTAAAAAAAAATGTATCCTTTGTGGCTAGAGAGATGGCTCAGTGGTTACGAGCACTGGCTGCTCTTACAGAGGACCCTGGTTCGATTCCCAGCACCCACATGACAGCTAACAACCATTTGTAACTCCAGTTCCAGGGGCTCTAACATCCCCTTCTGACCTCTACAGGCCCTGCACAACATGGATGTACTTACAGCCGTGCAGGCAATACACTCATACACATTAAAAAAAAAATGTATCCCAGGGCTGGAGAGATGGCTCAGCGGTTAAGAGCACTGACTGACTGACTGCTCTTGCAGAGGACCTGGGTTCAATTCCCAGCACCCACATGGCAGCTATGAACCATCCTTAACTCTAGTTCCAGGGGAAGCCAAAGCTCTCTTCTGACCTCTGAGGCATTGCATGACACGGGGGCACTCACATACATGCAGGCAATATACTCATACACATAAAATAAAAATAATAATAAAAAATATATTATTTTTTGGTCTTTTTGAGACAGGGTCTCCTTGTAGCCCCAGCTGTCCTGGAACTCACTATGTAGACCAGGCTGGCCTTGAATTCACAGAGATTCACCTGCCTCTGCCTCCCAAGTGCTGGGATTAAAGGCATGCACCACCAGGCCCAGCAAAAATATTTAAAAAAATGTATCCCTTAAGCTGGGCATGGGTAGTATATCCCAGTGCCTAGGAGGTTGAGACAGGAGGATCTTGGTGAGTTTGAGGCCAGCCTGGTCTACATAGCAAGTTCCAGGCCAGCCAGGGCTACATAGTGAGACTCTGTCTCAAAAACCAAAATGGGGGGCTGGAGAGATGGTTCTGCAGCTATAGGACAGTTAACAGAGTTATAGAATTCCCAGCACCCACATCATGGCTAACAACCATCATAACTGCAATTCCAGGGAATCTGATGCCCATTTCTGGCCTCCATGAACATGTCATCCATATAGTACACTAACACACATGCAGCCAAAACATTCATTAAGAAAAAAAAAAAAAATCCTTGAATTCTACCAAAGCAAACTACAACCCTGGTCACCAAAAACTAGTTGTTATAACATCTCCATTAAGGGAACACTGTCTTCAGTAGGAGTTACTTGTATATTTTATTTAGATACTTCTTTTTCACTCAGCAGTAGTTTCTGCTTACCTATTTTCCCCTTTGGTCACCAGGATGAGGTAGTGTTTATCCACGCAAAGGTTCTTTTGCGTACCTGTGTGCTTTGTTAGATTTTTTTCAAATTTTGAGACAGGATTTCATGTCACCCAAGACTGGCCTGGAACTTACTATGTAGTTGAGGATGACATTGAACTCATGATCCTCCTGCCTCTCTTAAGTTCTGGGATTACAGGCATGTACCACCACATTTTTACCTTTGTATTTTGTATATATAGGAAAATTTATAAAGATATATTGTCCTTTAAAAAGTGAGTCAGCTCTTTCTTCCATCTTTCTATGTAATTTGTTAATTTATCAGTCATTAAGTATGGACTCATGGATATTGTTTATGTTTTGAGTTATAATCCAATTATTTGATTTGGTGGCTGTTGTGTACATTACAAAGAAAAATAGCATTACTTTTGGTTTTGAATGAGTGAGTAAAAGAATAAATGGCAAGAGAGAAATAGCTAGCTAGCTAGTAAAACATCCTTAAATCAGATACTCAAATGTTCCAGCCAAAATTGATTGGCAGCCAGCTGAACTTTCTGATAGAATCCTGGGAAGAGCTGAGTGTTCCCTGTAGTAAGGTTTTCAAGCAAAAAACAAAAATAACATCAGAAAGGTAACATCCTCAAACTGGAGCCTTACAAACAGCAGAAGCCAACGACTAGCACTCCCAAATTGAGTTTTCTATCTGTGGCTGAGCTTCCCATGGCTGAACTTCAGCTTCTTTCCCACTCTAGGCACTTTGATATCATGGGACAAACAGTAGCAACCTCTATTGGAAACAGCTGATTTTCTAGTTCTCAAGGACACAATGTTTCTAGCTTGTTCTCAAGGGCACAGGAGTGTGTGTGTGTGTGTGTGTGTGTGTGTGTGTGTGTGGTGTGTTGAGGGGGTGTCAACCCATCCCTCCATAAGGGATCTCAGAGGACACTTGGCATAAATGTGCTTGGGTCTGAAGCGGGATGGACAACCTGCTTCCAGAGCTAGCTTTTTAATGAGCTCAAACTATATAATGTGCATTACAGTGGCGCTGTCTCTAATCACTATGTGAGTGCTGGGAACTCAACCTGGGTCCTCTGCAAGATCATTCAGTGCTCTTAACCAGTGAGCTACCTCTTCAGCCCCTTCTTTTTCTTTTGTAGTGCTAAAGGTGGAACCCAGGGCCTTATAACATGCTAGACCAGGTCTCTACCACTGACTTCTTTTTTAAAAAGTATGACTGAGTGTCATACCTTGAATCCCATCACTAGGGAGGCAGAGGCAGGCAGACCTCTGTGAAATCAAGGCCAACCTGGTCTACATAGTGAGTTTCAGGTCAGCTTTGACTACAGCTCAAAAAACAAACTGGCAAACAAAAAATATGCACACATGTACATGTGCAAGTGCACACATTCTAGTATTATTTCCTACTCTTTTTTTTTTTTTTTTTTTTTTGAGACAGGGTTGTCCTGTAGCTCCAGCTGGCCTGGAGCTGACGATGACTATATGTAGACCAGGCTGCTCAAACTCACAGATATCTGCCTTGCCTCTGCCCCGGAGTGTTGGGACTAAAGGTGTGCACTACCACGCCTGGCTATTATTTCCTACTCTTTTACGAAGCAATAGTTTGTGGTTATTGTTTTGTTGCAGTAATAAAGGCCTCAGTAATAAAGGGTCTCAGTATTTATTAGCATGGCTGGCCTTGAACACTTGATCCTCCTGCCTCTGTCTTCCAAGTGCTGGGATTTTGGGTTTGTGCCATCGTGTTCAACCTTTAAAAGTTTTTACATGTTACAGTGCTTGTGACAACATGTACAAGACCTGTGCAAGCCCAAGTCAGACAAAAACCCAGCATGGAGGAGGGAGGTGGGTATGAAGTCCCAGCCCCAACCCTAGCTGAAGATATATTGGCAGTTGGTAGCTGCTGGGATAGGGGGAGTTGGTTTCTTAAAGGGTATGATACTTGTTAGGTTGACCAGACTCCAAGGGATGGACCCACACCTCAAGCATTTGAAGAACACAAATTAGACTCTATAAGACCTTAAAAACAGAGAGAGAGAGAGAGAGAGAGAGAGAGAGAGAGAGAGACAGACAGACAAGTAGGGACTAGAGAGATGGCTCAGCAGTTAAGATCACTGGCTATTCTTGCAGAGGACCCTGGTTCAGTTCCCAAGACCTTCATGGTGACCAACAATGGTCTATAACTTCAGTTCCTAAGGATCCGATGCTCTCTTCTGGTCTCTGTGGGCACTGCATGCATAGGTGCACTGACGCACTTACATACAAGCAGGGAAAACATTCATACACATAAAAAAATCTAAATCAAATTAAAATTAAAAAAATAATAGGACGTGAAGTTGGGGAAGGAGTAATATGGTGGGGGTGGAGATGGGGAGGGGTCTGAATGTGGTCAAAATATTTGTATGAAATTCTCCACCAATAAAATATTTTTAA